AAAGCAAACATCATTTTGAGGCAAAGCGTACATAGATAACCTTGCGAAAGCTGTTCAAAGCCAACTCCAGCCTGGCGTTTCATATTGGCCCAAGGCGATGACTCGGTGCCAAATTCGCAAGCCTGCCTTCACTTTGCCCGGGAGCATCGTGTATCACTTCATACAACGACATATGTACGATAATTCCAGGACAGTTAAGTGAATGCGCCCTTTGGTACTTCAAACGTCTAGACGTACTTGTTTGCGGATATCCTAAAAATGGTAAAGTCCAGGCGCCCACGAGCAGGCTAGAGTGCGGCACTCTGGTCTGACATCTTTTGGTAGCCGCATTTCTCTACAAAACACACCGTACGAGACAAGGCAGGTGGAACTAAAAGTCATGGGGTAGGGGTAACACAACGACGGCGACGACTGTAATTGGTGTAAACACCGAAACCGTGGGCTGCCGACCTAGAGCCCGACTGGAACTACAAAGGAGGACTCCGGACGGGGGACAGTGCAAACTGGCCTCGCGGCAGCAGACAGCCCCAGCACCCTCAGGGTGTTGTTGTGCACCACAACACGCCCGGAAGCGCACTCGGCGTTGGCCAAGTGCTCCATCCTCCCCCCATTACAGTAGCTAAACATCTGAGCGTGCCGACAGCATGTTGACATGCCGCTGTCTTGGTCCTTTAAATACCAATTCCGACGCGACAACCACTTTTGTACTCAGCAACTTGGCCAAGTTATATTGCCTGGTGTAATTTATGTACGAGAAAGTGCGGAGACGCCTTTAACGGATAGGAAGGAAGTGTATACAGTGTAGCTTTCTGTACGCCTATAATGCTTTGTCCTCCAATAAATGCTGAAATTGTTTTAATTGGGACCCGTGAATCAGGGGCAAATCGTGGAGTCACAAGCACCTTTGACGTAAGGAAGGCAAAAAAACAGCTCGGGCTGCAAAAAATATCGAGTTGTCCGTGTCTCTGAACTCACTTTGGAGTTCATTCTGAGAAATGAGGACAATAATTTAACAGCCATATATTTGTGAGCTTTTAGCTAATCTATGAGCAGGATTGCGAGGCTCCGTATCTGAACGAGGGGGCGATCAGCCGGTTGCTGGTGTTCTTCTTAGAGTCACATGTCTCACTCAGTTCGCAGACTGATGAGTTCCCCGCTTAGGCAATTAAATTCCTTGATCCACCTTGAGGGTTTTGAGGGTCCAGCGTGAGATAATGGTTCTCCCTGCCACACAGCCCAATCATGATATTTCAAACAAGGTTTTCTCCAGTCATTCCGTAGAACGGCTGCCGATAAAACCGAAGAGGCGAGTTTCGGTAGGCAGTGGTAGTTTCGAATTCACACTCGAATCCTGCATTATAGGCAAAATTAAGGAAACGGTTTTTCACAAGTTTCGTTATATTCACCGCGGGACGCAGGGGTGTCCATTTGCTAGTTCCACGTACTACTCGCAGTAGGTCGTATCATTTGTTTCGTGCAGTTGGTGACTCTGCCCAACAGCCATTATCTGGCACCCTACTCTCACACGTGGCTCCTCGAAGCGAGTTTCTGCCTAGCGGCCACACCTCAGTAACAGCCTCGACCGGCGGGCTAAACCAGGTGGGAGTATTCCGTGTTGTGTGCCCCCACACCCTGTAACTCCACTTCCTTTCTCATCTCTCCTACCGCCCAACCCACTCCAAGACGTGCAACAGAGGCGGCGACATGCAATCCCGAAGGCGGCCGCGGCCAACTGGGGTTGCACTCCACAAAATGAAATCGCGAATCATGGTGGGATCCGGCTGCCGCCTGAAATGTCTAAGCACTGCTTGTTTCCTGGTGGGAGAGGGACTGGAAAATGTGCCCTGAATAAGTGGTGGGGCTTCACACCATCTGCTAGTATGCCATGGCTCGTAGATGCAAAGCTTGCTCTTGAAACACTCCATTAAGAAACAACCTCCACCCCATTTCGTACCCTTTGGACTCAGCCGGGAATTGGAGGAGACCCGTATCTGCTTTTCCCTCTGATGATGTGTTTGAGCAGGAATCCGAAACGTCACGCGAATAAAGCTCTTGTCCCAGCGATCGTGTTTCCTTCCTCACGAATGGTTTCCTTCTCCTGAGAACCTGCACAGAACACCGCTTCCTGCTGACCCACGCCATCTTCTGCCTGTCGATGCGAAGGAAGACCAGCTGGATGCACCCCCGATCGCGGTGCTGGCAGTTGCTGGACTAGATTCTCGCCAGGGGGCAAGACCGACAGGACGTGCCGGTGACCAACGCTATCCGCGACGCCGATGGCTGGACGGATCACCGTCTCATCCTATCCAAGATGAGGCTTTGACTGCCACACCGCAGGAGACCACAAGGTAAGCGACTTCCAGGTAAGTTGACCACTGTTCTGTTGAATTTGCCTGCTCACCGTTTACGATTCAGTAATCAACTAGGCCAGCGCCTGAAAGAACTTGCGGCTCCTGAAAAACAACACTGTGGAGAGTCGATGGTGTCAGCTGCGACAAGTTGTTCACTCGGCTGCTTTGGATGTCCTCGGAAGCGCAGTCATCGCACCAGGACTGATTCGACGACAATTAGGTCGACATCAGCCAACTGTTCCCTGAAAGGAGCAGGTTGCACAAGACCTGGTTGGACCATCGGATGGCCGCAGATAAGACGATATCCTTCCGCTATCGTCGCATCGCGCAGCACCGACAGGGAAAGCCTGAATGACCCGCACGGCCGAGGAAAATCAGGGGTATGCTGATTGCAATAAACTCAAAAACTTCTTCGCATCACCCAGGACGATTTACAGCACCCAAACTAAAGGAACCACGCCACTTCTCAGCTCCGATGGAACAACGGTCCTGACAGAGAAATCATAGATTCTGAAGTGCTGGGCCGAGCACTTCAGAAGCGTCCTCAGCCGCCCCTCTACAATCTTCGACGCTGCCATCGACCGATTGTCCCAAGTGGGGGACGAATAAGGACATGAATCTGCCGCCTTCTCTTCCATAAACCACCTGCGCCGTGCAGCAGACGTCCAGGAGGAAAGCACCGGGATCTGACGCAAGCCCGACCGAAATTTACAAACACGGCTACTCCCAGCTCATGGATCGAATCTCAACACTATTCGAGGAGATTTGGCGCAGAAGACACGTTACTCACGACAACCGCCCATCTTTGCAAACGGGAAGAAAACCCGCAACTCTTTAGTATCCACATAAGTATCTCGCTGCTCAACATCGCCTGGAAGATCTTTGCTTACATTCTCCCTAACTGACTCAATTGTCATCTAGAACAAAGACTTCTCCCAGAAGGCCAGTGTGGCTTCCGTCGTTATCGTGGAACCACCGACACGATTTTCGCAGTCCGCCAGCCGCAAGGTAAATGCCAGAAGATGCAGATCCACCTCCACCCTACATCTTTAAACCTGAAGAAAGCCGTCAACACGATGAATTGCGATGGTCTGTGGAAATTCATGTAGAAATTCGGCTGTCCTGAGCGATTCACGCATATGATACGTCAGCTCCACGATGAGATGATAGCGAGCGTTACTGTCAATAGGACCGTCTCAGAATCACTTGCAGTAACTAATGGAGTGAAGCAGGGCTGCGTAATCGCCCCTACCCGATTCATTCTTATGCTTCTGCCATGCTGGTGGACGCCTACCGAGATACGCATCGCCTACAGGCCCTATGCCCATCTTCTCAAAAGCCGGCGCCTACAGGTCTTAACGGCTACTGTCCGCGACCTGCTCTTTGCAGACGACAGTGCTCTCAACACCGCGACGGACACTGACATGCAACGGAGCATTTGCCTCTTTGCCCCCGCCTGCGCCAAATTCTGGCTAACCATCAACACGGACAAGACTGTGGTCATCCATCAAGCAATACCCAACGCTGCACGTAGTGTCTCTCGCATCTACGTTAACAGCACCAAACTGAACACCGTGGACAATTTCGCCTGCGTCGGCAGCATACTCTCCTGCTGCCTCGAAATCGATGACGAAGTGGCTTACCGGATCTTGAAAGCCAGCCAATCCTTCAACAGGCTGAAGTAATCCATATAGAACCGCCGCGGTCTCCGCCCGGACACCAGGCTGAAGATGTACAAAGCTGTCATCCCGATGACACTGCTGTATGGTGCGGAGACATGGGCGGTCTACAGGAGGTAAGCACGAAAGCTGAATCACATTCATCTCAGTTGTCTCCGACAGATACTATAGCTGAGATACCAAGACAAGATCCCCGACACGGAAGTATTAAAACGTACTGGCAGCCTCGGCACCCACGCCATGCTGACGCAAATACAACTACGATGAATCGGTCACCCCGTGATGCTGGACGATTAGCACATACAAAAACAACACTATTACGGAGGTGTCGCCAGGGGTGATCGCCAACATGGAGGTCAAACCCGTCGTTACAAGGACACCTTGTAGAGCTTCTCGATGCGACTACAAATCAGCTGGGAAACTTTAAAAGTCTTCTCTCAAAACCGACCGACCTGGAGAAGGAAAGCGTTGACTGGAATGGCCATCTACGAAGCCAACAGGTTCGCCTTTGCCGAAGTCTATAGAGAAGCTCACATGTCCCAGAAGCCTCTGACCAGCCGCATCAACGTTCAACCACTCCCAACGTGCCCACAATGTCAACGAGATTCTGAGCTTGAATGAGCCTCGTTGAACATAACCGGACCCACTGCACTAATTATTCGACAACCCCACTTCTGCCTTCGCGTTCGCCCCTGGTCCAACCCCTACGGCGTCCACCCTCGCCCCCGTTGCTCCGAATCCCCGTGCCCCGTCTCTGTCCAAG